TGTCATCTGCGACGAGGTGCAGGTGCAAACATGCCCTACACCAGGTTTTTATATGCACATTATAAGCAGATCCAGAAAAGGTTTTGTCTCGTATATGCTTATTATGATTAACTGGGAAGGGCTTGCTTTTTAGAGGAGAACTGGGGCTTGATCAACTGGGGGGTATGAGGGGGGTCGCAGGTGAGTTGAGGAAGGTGAGTCAATCATGGGTCGCGACCTGACCTTCCCTCACAACGTGGGTGCGAATTCATGGGAGCAAGGCAGTACTGTCATACTCCCGTTCACCCCATGACCAACCTCACTTCCCCCCTTATCCCAGCATATCCCATCTTATCATGCGCTATTCCGCCCCATCCCATCCTGTCTCACCCCCCATCCCATCCCATCCTATCCCACCTGTTCCACCATCATCCCTGCAGGTGTCACCAGAGCAGGGGGCGTTCCTGGCAATGCTGGTGCGGCTCATGGGAGCAAGGCGCTGCATTGAGCTGGGTGTGTACACGGTGAGGCATGCAGCGGTTCTGCGGTGTGCTGCGGTGCGGCAGTGTGCTGAGGCGTGGTGTGCTTAGGTGCTGCAGGATGACTCTTTTATGCATTGAGCTGGGTGTGTACACGGTGAGGTTTCCGACCAGTGCTGCTGCAAATTGTTTGTTGCACTGTGTTGCTTGCCTTTCCCCCTTCCCTTCCCCGTCCCCCTTCCCTCTCCCACTCCTCTCCTCTTCCCCCCTGGTCCATGACTGTTCGCTGCTTCCGTTCTGGTGGTGCATGCAGAGAGGTGGGTGGTACATCCAGAGAGGTGTGCTAGATAGCTGTTCCGTTTGTTTCATCCCCTCTGTGCTACAACTCTCGCCCTCACCTTTTGCGTCTCTCGCTCATCCCCCTAACGTCTCTCCTCTCAGGGCTACTCCTCCCTCTCATTCGCCCTCGCTCTCCCCCCAGACGGTCTGCTGGTGGCGTGTGAGAGAGGGGGTGCCGCACACGTTTGTGTCACCTGCCATACCATGTTTCCCCTTGTTCTACCACACACTCACTCTCACCCCTCCGCTTTGTGCCGCACACTCACTCTCGCCCTCTCTCCTTGTGTCGCTCCTCAGGGCTACTCCTCCCTCTCAGTCGCCCTCGCTCTCCCCCCAGACGGTCTTCTAGTGGCCTGTGAAAGGGTGCCGCACACGTTTGCAGTGGCGCAGAGGTTCTATGAGAAGGCAGGCGTGAGGCACAAGGTGTGTGTGACTCTAGTGTGTGGGGCTTAGTGAGGGTTGATATTGTATCAATTATAACAAGGGGTGCCGCACACGTTTGCAGTGGCGCAGAGGTTCTATGAGAAGGCAGGCGTGAGGCACAAGGTGTGTGTGACTCTAGTGCCACTAGTTTTGAGTTTAGTGCCACAAGGTGTGCGTTTGTGACTCTGGTGATACCTGATGCGTGATAGGTTGCAACACAGGGTGCCTCACACATTTGCAGTGGCTCAGAGATTCTATGAGAAGGCTGGCGTGAGGCACAAGGTGTGTGTGACTCTAGTGAGGGCTGCTGTAGTGAGTGAGTACTGTGAAAGAACAAGGTGTGCGTGTGTGACTCTAGAGAGGGCTGATGCTGTTTTGATTGTAACAGAGGGTGCCGCACACGTTTGGAGTGGCGCAGCGGTTCTACGAGAAGGCTGGCGTGAAACACAAGGTGCGATTGTAGTGAGTAGTGCTGTAATGAGTGAGGTACAAGGTGTGACTCTAGTGGGTGGGGCTGTAATGAGTGAAGCACTAGGTGTGAATCTGGAGAGGGCGGCTTCAGCAAGCGAGGCGCAAGGTGTTATTCCAGTGAGTGGGGCTGTGATGATTGTTTGTAATGAGTGTGACTCGCACAAAGGGTAACTTTATGAGAAGTCCTTGGCACTTTTTCCCCTCTCCCATCCACCACCTCCCCTCATCCGCCCATCTCCTCGCACGCTATGCAGCAGCTTCACCCTCTCCCTCCCTTGTTCCAACACACAGGTCGACCCCCGGCTGGGCCTGGCACAGGAGACGCTGCAGCAGCTACTGGAAGAAGGGCAGGCCGGCAGGTGAGAGGTGAGAGGAGAGAGCACAGTGGCTTGCCGCTGGCATGTGTGCACACACAGTGAAACTCCCCATCCCATCCATCATGCCAGTCTAGGTAGGTACACCCGCGGCTGGGCCTAGCTCAGGACACGCTGCCGCAGCTACTGGAGGAAGGGCAGGGAGGCAGGTGAGAGCAGAGGCACAGTGGCTTGCGCGTGACATGTGCACACGCACAGTGCAGCAACCCCAGCCGTCCTTCATGCCGCTATTGAGGCGCCTCAAAAGAGGCGGACCACAGTGTCCTGCTGCTGGCATGTGTACACACACACACAGTGCAGCACCCCATCCATCCTTCATGCCGCTCCAGGTAGGTGGATCCGCGGCTGGGCCTGGCACAGGACACGCTGCAGCAGCTGCTGGAAGAAGGGCAGGCAGGCAGGTGAGAGCAGAGAGCACAGTGGCTTGCGCATGATACGCTATCCATCATGTCGCTTCAGGACACGTTGCAGCAGCTGCTGGAAGCAGAGCAGGCAGGCAGGTGAGAAACTGCAGTTCATACATACATACTGTCACCACCATCACCATCCATCTTAGGTCTACCAACTTTTGATGCGCATTAGAGAATTGGCCCGCCACAGACCGTGTGTCGTCGCCCACTGGCACCTTGGGCTGACTCAAGTATCACCTTTTCATTTACTCCTCTCTTCTGTTCTATCTACACCCATCGCATGGGTCATCGCATGGATCATCCTTGGCACCCACTTTGGTGTTTCCTGTGTGCATGGATCACCGCAGTTTTGACTTTGCGTTTCTGGATGCGGACAAGCGGATGTACCGCGAATACTATGAGCTGCTGCTCACTCTGGTGAGTCGATGTTTCCATTGGCTCAAAATGCAAATGTACTGAGATTACTAGCTGCTTCTCACCTTTGTGAGTCCCCTTTTGTGGGTTAATTCCATGCCTCAACATGAATACTACTACTTTACTTGACCTACACCACACTACTTGCTTCGTAACCTGAGCCTCGATGCATATGCTTGAGATGTGAGTTCATTAGTTGCATAACCTTGCAAGCGATAACGTCTGTACCATTCCCTGGCTGACGCCCATCAGCTCCTTGAACACGCTCTAATAGCAGCAGGGTGGCATCCTATGGACATGTTTCCATGCATGCATCCATAGGATGCCACCCTGCTGCTATTGACTATGGACCAGTCAGTCAGTCTTAAAATCCGCATGCCGAATGGTGCCGACGGTCCACACACACATATCCCGATGATTATACCATCCCTCTTTACAATCATTCCATCCTCCATATGCATGCCCATCTCCCCTCCAGTTGAGGCCAGGGGGTCTCCTGGTGGTTGACAACGTGCTGTGGCACGGCCAGCTGGCTGATCCTCAGGTGAGTTACTCAGGTGATTTCTCAGGTGCTTTCATCAGATCAGTGGCCGTGTATGTTCCCAAACTCAGGTGATTTCAGGTGAAACGCCTCCAACATGTCATTGTAACTTGAGCCATGCCTATCGGCCATGGTCTTAACTTGTGTCATGCCCATTGGTTATGGTCAATGTAACTTGTGTCATGCCCGTTGACGATGGTCTCAACTTGTGTCATGCCCATTGACCATGGTCAATGTAACTTGTGTCATGCCCATTGACCATGGTCAATGTAACTTGTGTCATGCCCGTTGACGATGGTCTCAACTTGTGTCATGCCCATTGACCATGGTCAATGTAACTTACCGTATGCTGCTTCTGCCACCAGACCTCTTGAGCCATGCCCTTTACTCCCTGCTGTAATGCTTTTTCCATTGTGTTGTATTATTAGTGGAATGGTACGGTACCTAGTTTATCCGTGCGTGGAACACTCCCTCTATTTTTGGCGAATTTATCTTACCGTATTCCCAGGTGACTGACCGCAAGACAGAATACCTCAGGGCCTTCAACAAATTCATTCGCGATGATCCGCGCATCCATCATAGCATTGTAAGCGAGAGTGCATTGGATAGGATATTCCGTAGCATTTTCTGTGCTTCCGTGTAGCACTTTCTCGGTAATTTCGCATGTGTAAATATGTGTTCTTACTGTGTACGTGCCTGATCAACTGCCACTTTGTGAAACTCTTTGATTTCACTCGTCTCGCTGCTTGTAACGTGCAGGTGCCTGTTGGAGATGGCGTGGCATTATGTCAAAAACTTTAATTATATTCTGGATATTTTCTTCTACAAAGTTCCAAAAGTGCAATACACTGGTTATCCCACTAAACCACGAGACAATGTGTAGACATAATCCCGGAAACCTCCGCAAACCCCTCGGCTTGTTTGTGCCCCTCTCCTAACCCCTCGGCCATCTTCCCGCCTGGCTTTTAAAACCACCAATGCACCGAGCATTTCCTTTCCATACTTGCCGTCTTTTCCGCATCCCTCTGCGCTGCAAAACGCGTCCTAGACATACCGTCGGCAAGCTATTTCCGCCGTTGTTCTCTCGTGACGCCGGAGCGAGCCGCATAACATAGGTGCATCCGCAGGGGCCCGTACGGAGTGCGTTAGGAGGGCGTTAGGAGCGCATTGGGAGTGGGTTGGGAGCGTAGGGAAGCAGTTTCTCGTGCCATGCCACCACTGTAACCGTTCCAGCAGTAACCGCACTCCCGTTTTCGCCATGGGCTTCGCAGCGGCGGGCTCGATCGCCGCGACAAGACCGTCCCTTGTCGTCCGATGCCGCAATCCGCGTAGTATCCCCGTTATAAGACCGCTCCCGTCCCCTTACTTCCGATTGTACACGTGGCAATTGTTGATCTCCCGTCGCTCGCCGCACGTCAAGCCACTCGATCTGCCAAACACGCCCCTTGGCGTATTCAACTCACACTTTGGCTCCTGTAACTCACCTCGTAGTACACCATCCAATATACCGCGTGCTAATCTTGGCTCGCCTAGCCTCATTTCGCCATTTGAGCCGGCCAGCGTATCGCGTATGTCGTCCCGTCAATTACCGCTCATCAGCGCATCCCACGAGCCGCGCAGGAGTCTCACGACCGCGGTGCCGTCGGCGCAAGGAGCCGAGGTGGTAACGAGTCGAGAAAACGACAGAAGCAGCCGACCGGATGGAGCTACAATGCGCGGTGCCAGCGGGGAAGGCGAAAGGGACGGGGAGGAGAGAGAAGGGCGGGAGCGTGAGGATAGAAATGAGTCGAGAGAGACTGTGGAAGGAGAAGAAGAAGGAGGGGAAGGAGAGGGTGCATGTAACGAGGGTAGGGAGCACACGGGGAAGAGCGAGGGGGTGCTGAGAATAGAAGGAGCCGCGGGGGATGATCTGAGGGCTAGGCGCAGGAAGAGACGAGCGGAGAAAAAGGCAAGCAGAGCAGAGTCAACTGAGTCAACGGAGTCAACCCCCAGGCGCGTGTCCGAGTGGCGCACGCGCCCGCTCGTCCCGCACGGCGCGTCCCAATGGCCGCAGATCCAATCCCTGGCCGCCACGTCAGCAGGCGCCAGCCTGTCAATCGACACGATCTTCGCCGCCCTGGGCCTCCCGCCACTCGCGGACGGCCACCCGCTGCTGCCGGTGCGCGTTCGGCAGCACGTGAACCCCTTAAAGACGTCTCTAATGGCGCCGCCGCTGCCCGTGGACTGGTCGGCAGTGTACGAGGATCCGACACTACCTCTGGTGGTAGATATTGGGTCGGCGAGTGGGCGGCTGGTTTTGGCGCTTGCTGTGCGGGACTGGCGCTGGCGCGCACAGCAGCGAGGGGAGGAAGGGGAGGAGGGGGAGGACGGGGATGGGCCACCGTCGCTGTCGTTCCTCCCCTCCCCACCACTGAACTTTCTCGGCTTTGAAATTCGCGACAAGCTCGTGCAGCGCGCCGACACGTGGCGCCGCCAGCTGGCGCTGCGCAACGCGCACTTCGTCGTCGCCAACGCCACGTCAGCACTTGAAACCGTACTCGCAACCTACCCGGGACCGCTAGTAGCCGTTTCCATTCTCTGCCCGGACCCGCATTTCAAGAATAAGCACCGGAAGAGGCGGGTGGTGCAGCGGGGGTTGGTGGAAGCGATTGGGCGGGTGCTGGTGCCAGGTGGACACGTGTTTGTGGAGTCTGACGTGGAAGAGGTGGCTGCTGACATGTACCAGCAGTTTGCGGGGTGTGGGAGGGGGGGAGAGGACGGGGGTGGTGTGATTTTGGAGGGTGGGGATGAGAGTGAGAGAGGTAAGAGCGGGAGGGAGGAGAGTGAGAGTGAGAGTGGGAGTGAGGGAGTGGTGGAGAGTGGAACTAACAGTGAACGTCTGCCAAGGTTTATTCTGTGCGACCTTGTTGCAGCAGTAGGAAAGAGTGGGGAGGATGAAGAGGGTAGTGTGCAGCAGGAGTTGGCAAGTGGGGAGAGGGCAGGGGAGGGGAGTGCAGAGTGTGGAGGGGAATGCAGGGGAGGGAATAAGATGGCTGGGTTACAACCCCCTGGGGATGCCGAGTGAGAGGGAGGTGGTGGTGCTGCTGCAGGGCTCTCCCATGTACCGCGCCCTATTCGTCAAGCAGTAAGGTGCTAAGCTTCTAACAGCAGGTGTACAGGTTCGCCTGTTGCAGGGCTCACCCATGTGCTGCGCTCTATTTGTCAAGCAGTAGAGCAAGGAGGCTCCTTGCACCAGGCGTGTATTGTTGCATACCGACCATACACCTGCCTGTTGCAGGGCTCTCCCATGTACCGTATTCCCCCGGACATACCACCCGCCGAAATAGAGCACCCCCCGGGTGGCTTGTGCGGGGGGGGTGCTATAGCGGGCCTCGTTTCTACTATACCCCCCTTTTGGGGTGATTTTCTATAACACCCCCCTGTCATACAAAATTTCTAATTATAGTTGTTAGCGAGTACTGCAGAACATCGCGGAAATAACTTCCGCGATGAAATTTCATGGTAGTTTCGATAGAATCTACCGAAATCACCCCCCTCCCTCTTTTACGCTACTGCCACGCTGGAAGTTTGTTCACTACCAAGTGGCCAAAAAGGTGCCACTTGGCAATTTCAAGGGGGGTGAAAAGGATCTTGCCAAAACCCACATTCTCGCTTCTAGCTGTGATGGTAAACCAACTCTGAAAACACCCAAGTTGTCTTTGCATCAAAATCCTTACACTAAAATTACCGTATAAAAAGACCCGGGTGCAATGTAGCTTTTTCCGATGACAAGGCCCCCCTCCTTTTCTTTGTGTAGTTATCTGTCAAAATGAAGAATGGATGATGCATTGATGTTGGTTGGGGTACATATAGCTAACCCTAAGTTTTGTACCCCCTAAGACAAACCTCACTATAGGCTACAACATTTGACACACCCCCATAGCCTAAGTGAGGGGTGTCTAGCAGAACCAAACGAGTACGGTCACAAGACCAGTCCAAGAAACGAAGCTCAGGGTGGATCACAACGTCACCACACAGTCTGAGCACAAACAACAGTGGCCACAAGGCCAGTCCAAGAAGTAACAGAGGTATATAGAAAGCAAAGTAAACAGTACACTCAAGTCTAAGCAACACGAGAACCAGTGTCAACAAGGCCTAACTGCACACAGCACCTCTGGTGGTCACAAGGCGGAAGCGCCTTGGTGAAGATGTCTGCAGTGTTGGCCTCGGACTCCACAAACTCAAAGCGAGCCTGTCCACGCCTCTGCAACTCTCGCAGAAGAAAGTACCTGACGTGAATGTGCTTCACTCTGCTCTCCAGTCGTGGCTCTCGACAAAGGAGAATAGACGCCTTGTTGTCAGTGAACAAGGTCGGTGCAGAGCTCGGCCGCTCACCAAGGTCGGTGAGCAAGAAGGTCAACCAACGCAGCTCCTGTGCCGCCATGGCACCAGCGTAGATCTCAGCCTCAGCTGTAGAGGTCGAGACCGAAGAGGAGCGCGTGGACCGCCAGGAAACAGCTCCAGAACCCAGGCTGAAACAGTACCCCTGAGTAGACCTGTGAGTCTCAGCGTCGTCAGCGTAAGAGGAGTCACAGTGACCAGTAAGTACGACAGACTGCTGCCCTCCAAGAACTAGCCCCACGCCTGACGTCGTCGCTAGGTACTTCGCCACCCTCACAGCTGCTGTCCAGTGAACAGGACGGTGTCTCCCTGGCGCAACAAAGCGCGCAAGAACGCTGAGAGGGAAGGCGAGGTCCGGGCGAGTACAAGTCATCAGGTACATGAGGCAACCCACAAGCTCTGCGTAGGGACCACTAGGCTCGAACGGCTCGTCAGGAAAGGGTCCAGTGAGTCTGTGGTCAACAGCAAGAGGTGTGCGCTGTACTGTGGAGTGCTGAAGCCCGAACCGCTGAAGGACCTGCTGCACCATGTGCGACTGTGAAAGTGTAATGGTGCGAGCAGCTCTGTCCCTGGTGATCTGCAGGCCAAGGTAGTGGCGCAGCTCACCAAGATCAGTGCAGGTGTGTCTCTTCTGCAGTTCGGACTTCACGTGTGCTAAAGCAACCCTGTCAGGGGTGGCAAAAACAAGGTCGTCAACGTAGACCAGAACAAAGAAAGGTGTGGGGCCACGACGAACGAACAGCGACGGGTCAGCAGAAGACGGCTGGAACCCAAGGTCAGACAGGGTAGAACGCAGGGTGTCGTGCCACTCACGAGGAGCCTGACGAAGACCGTAAACCGGTCGCCTCAGCCTCCACTGGGTCCCAGGAGGGAAAGAGCCAGTGAAGGCAGAGGGACGACGCAACCAGACCTCCTCGTGAAGACTGCCCTGAAGGAAAGCAGTAGAGAAGTCGAGAGAGTGTAACTCGTAGTCTCTCTGTGCTGCTACGTGTAGTAACACCCGAAGAGTGGTCATCTTCGGGGTGGGCGCGAAGGTCTGAAAGAAGTCAACTCCCTCGCGCTGATTGAAACCTCTAGCCACGTAGCGTGCCTTGAAGACCGGAGGAGATCCCGGTGGCCGCTTCACCCTGTAGATCCACATGCCGTCGACTACGTTCGCCCCCGGAGGGGGAACCTCATCGACGTAGGTGCCTGTGGATCTATAGGAGGCCATCTCTGCGTCCATGGCAGCTCTCCACTGAGAGGCCCAAGGCCCTGACACTGCCTCAGCGTAAGTGCGAGGAGTCGGAATGTCAAGGGCGTCGGGGTCACCCTCAGGGGCGAGGAGCATGGCACAGAGATGAGGGGAAGCGGCCGCCAGGAACTCTAGCTCAAACTGCCTGTCCTCTAGGGCGTCACAGCCAAGGGCAGACACACCCCCGACGGCCAGAGGACTGGAAGGAGGAGCAGCCACAAGAGCGGTGGCGAAGTCAAGGCGGCGGGTAGAGGCAAACTCAGTGACTGCGGCAGTAAGAGCGGACACAGAGGACACAGAGGCACGAGGGTGAGTAACAAGCGAGGCGAGAACACGAGAGAGAAGAGGACGGTACGTGCGGTAGTAGTCAGTGACAGGAGTAGGGAGCGACGCAGTGAGAGCCGACTCAGGAGGAGACGGAAGCACAGACGGAGACGGACGAGGTGGACTAGAACGAAGTAAGGCAGTACGAAGGTCAGTGAAGGGAACAGGAGACGAGGGACGAGCACGAGGGGAGCGACGAGAGGCCCAAGTCTGAGAAGGAGGAGGGGACAACGAAGACTGAGAACGAGGGAAAACAGCGGGAGAGGGGTCAGGAGGAGGAAGCGGAGGACCAGAGACGGGAGGAGAGGGGGAGGAGGAAGGAGAGGGAGAGGGGAGACCAAGGGTCCGAAGACCCGAGACAGGAGGAGGAGACGGCAGCTGCTGCTGCTGCGGCTGCTGCGGCTGCTGCTGCTCCAGCGGCTGCTGCCCCTGCTGCTGTCGCTCCTGCTCCTCGAGCCGCTGCAACTCTCTCTCCTCTCTCTCCTCTCTCTCCAACTCCAGCTGCTCCTCACGAGCACGGCGAACACGAGCCTGGAACCTGGTCGGGTAGGGGTGGGGGGAAGGAGTAGTGTCCGGGGCAGCGGCAGCCCCAGAGTCGACCTCCGAAGCACCAAGCACACCACCCCCAGAGGTAGTACCAACACCAGCTCCAGACCCAGGCTCTCCAGAAACCGAAGGAACACCCTCACCCCCAGACGCAGCACCCCCAGACTCCGCACCAGCACCCCCAGACTCCGCACGACCAGTACCAGCCCCCGGAAGACAAGAGTCCTCTGCAACCCGCGGCTCAGCTCCAACTCCAGCACCCCCAGAACCAGAGACCTGTACAGGGACAGTCGCAGGACCAACCTCCCGAGAGGGAGCACCTGCAGGAGGCGGCGAGGAAGACTGTGGGGAGGGAGGCTGTACAGGGGGGGCTACCGAAGGGGGAGGGCTAGCCTGAGACACACCAGACGGGGCTGGACCAGGGGGGGAGGCTGTACCGGGGGAGCAGGCGGGGGAGCGGCTGTCAGGAAGAGGGGGGGAGGAGGAACCGGGAGACCTCGACTGGGGTACCTGACGTAGTACGGGGTGGACTCCTCGAAACGGACGTCACGGGAGTCAAAGAACCGGTGAGAGGGAGGGTGGTAAAAGGTGAAGTCAGAGGAGTCCTCAGGGAAACCAAGGAAGACACAAGGAACGGCGCGAGGCGAGAGCTTGTCCGCGGAGGTGTCGCGGACAAGAGCCAAGCACCCCCAGACACGAAACCTCGACGCGACACCAGGGGACCCTGTCCAAAGACTGGTCGGTGAAGCCTCCGGCCGAGAGACGCGTGGCCAGAGGTTCAGCTGGTGCGCGGCGTACCTGACTGCGTATGGCCACAGGAAATGGGGGGCACGGGCGTGAGTCAAGGAGGTGCGGGCAATCTCCATGACCAGGCCTATGCGACGCTCAGCAACCCCATTCTGCTGTGGGGACTCCGGAAGCGTCCAGGACTGACGAATGCCCTGTTCGCGACAGAATCCAGCGAGAATGCCGGAGCGAAACTCGCCCCCGCGGTCGGAGTGGAGACAGCTGACACGACGACCACGAGTGTCCTGGGTGGTAAGCAACCACCTGATCAGCGTAGAAGTCACCTCAGACTTCCTCGCCAGGGGGAACACTGTGGTGTAGCGGGAGTAGTCGTCAACGACCACCAAAAAGAAACGCTCACGCTCAGGGCCAGGGCGAGGAGAGGGGCCCCAGACGTCCAAGTGCAGCGTCTCAAAAGGCTCGGTGGCCGGACGAAGGGAGGAGGAGTGAGGGGTGGCACGCAGCCTACCCTCGACGCAAGGACCGCACGGTGGTGCAAGGGACGGCGGCAGCGACGGCAAGACACGCGGGAGACCTAAGACCAGACGCTGACTAGACATAGCACGCAGACGTGGAAGAGAAGGGTGTCCCATCCGGTGGTGCCACAGAACGGTGGGGTGGGCAAGCGACCGACAGGAGCAAGACGCAGCGACTGGACTGGACGCGACAACCTGAGGGGACGGAACCACCTGGTGAGACGCAGGGAGGAGACTAGGGGGAGGGACAGGAACTGGGAGGAGTGGCTGCTGCGACGGCGGCCGCTGTGGCTGCGGCTGCGGCTGCTGCCGCTGCTGCTGCTGCGGCTGCGGCTGCTGCCGCTGCTGCTGCTGCGGCTGCTGCTGCTGCGGCTGCTGCTGCTGCTGCTGCTGCGGCTGCTGCTGCTGCTGATGCTGCTGCTGCTGCTGAGCGCGCGGGCCAGTGTGAAGAGTGTAGAGACCGGAGCCCGGCTCAGCAGCAAAAGTGGCGAGGGGCTGGTAAGAGTCCCCGTCAACACACACCGCAGTCTCTCCAGAAGGCTCAAACCACACACCCACGTGCTGACTCACGAGGGGTCGCACGCCCACCAAGTTCCGGGAGAACGAGGGGACGTGAAACCCAGTGAGAGACCCAGAAGGAGCAGCCGGACACGGCAAGGTGGTAGTGTGACGCGCAGTGACTGGTCCCGAAGTGGGATCAGCCAGCGCCACAGAAACAGGCGCAGGAAGAGGCGTAAGTGTCGTGCTGTCACGAAAGAAGCAGTGAGAGGCTCCAGAGTCCAGCGTGAACGACAGCGAACCGTCCTCTGAGGTAGCCGCTGGACTAGAGTCTACACAAGAACCTACACTAGCAACAGGCAACTGAGCAAGGCTAGCACCTAAGCTAACAACACCAGAGTAAGCAGAGTCAGAAACACTAGAGTCAACAACAGCATACATAGCATGGGGAGTACCAATCAGATCAACTAACTGCTCAGCAGACATGCCCCACAGAGCGGAGCCGTAGCGCTGAACAAGAGGCAGCCAGTCAGGGGCAGGAGCACCAACCCCGTAGACCAAACGAACCGTGTCAGTGAGCTGAGCAAAGCACTGACCAGGGGGGTGAAACCGGCCACAAGGGTGGCCACGACGAGGGCCTGTCAGAACCTGGTAGGTGCAGGGAGTGTAAGCAGCACCACGCTGGGTCTGACGCAGCCCCGACCCTGGAGCCAGCTGCTGCCGCTGCTGCTGCTGAGGCTGCTGGGAGGAGAGGGGCTGCTGGTGCTGCAGAAGCTGCTGCTGACGCTGAGCCTGGTACCACGCCGCTGCTCCACCAACCGGGGCAGGAAGTACAGGAGGCGACTGACGAACTCGGGCGTCGCCACCACTAGCAGGCGCAGTGGAGTCACCAGTCACTGCACGAGGCGCCTCTCCAGGCCCTGAACCTCCACCGCCGCCAGGCGCAACGCCACCTCCACTACCTCCGCCTCCACCTCCACTACCACCACCAGAACCGCCTTTCTTGCCACTCCTACCGCGGGACCGCGACGCAGTCGTAACAGCAGCTGCAGTCGCGTCAGTAGCGGCAGTGGCAAGTGAGGCAGTAAAGGTGGGTAACTGCGGGACTGTGCACCCGTGGAAGAGTGGGGGGGGCACAGCACCAGAGGCAGCGGCTACCGAGCGAAGGTTGCTCTCGACGTCCTTGAGTGTAGACTCAAGGACATCGACGGTGAGCTCACTAGGGTGCTTCAGCAGAAGCGCGTCGCGAACGGAGGCAAGGCGGTCAGGGAGGCTAGTGGCGATGAAATAGATAGTAATCGCCATAGGGGGAGGAAGCAGTGCAAGCTGTGCCTCAGTGCAAGCAGCGCGGTAACTAGCGTCGAGCGAGCGGAGGTGAGCGATCAAGTCAGCAGAGCGCTCAAACGAGGCGAGATCAGGAAACAGGAACGGGAGGAAAAGACGGCCAAGAGAGACAGTAGCGGGAGTAGAGTAGCGGGCCTTAATCGCAGTGAGGTACGCAGCAGCGGTGCGAACCTGAGTGAAGTGGACCTCCTCTGACTCAGGGAGGAGGCTGCTGAGTGCGATGCAGGCCGCAGCGTCACGCGACGTCCAAGCCGTCCTGTCAGCGCGCTGACGGGCAAAGCGAGCCGTAGCAGCATCGTCAGGGGCAGGACCTAAAGCGGCAGGCTCGGGGGGCTCGGGGAGGTCACCAGTAGCGTGCGACCAGAGGGTCTCGCCCCCCTGGACTTGACTCTCTAACAGACGGCGAGCGCGAAGAAGCCAGACGGAAAAGTCAAGAGGTCTACCGTCAGCGTCGAAACGAAGAACTCGCGGAGTCGCCATAGCGAGAACTAACGCGAACGAGCAGGCGAGTAACAGCAGGAGGTAAGAGGCAAATTAGGGTTCAGGTGGGGAGGGGGGGACTTAGTCGCAGCGGAGGAACGGGCTAGGGCGACGGGCCAGGGCGTAGGGTCGACGGGACGGGGGAAAGGGCGGGCGCGATGCGACGGGGCAGGGCGACGCGACGGGGCAGGGCGACGGGACGGGGAAGGGCGACGCGACGGGGCAGGGCGACGCGACGGGGCAGGGCGACGGGACGGGGAAGGGCGACGCGACGGGGCAGGGCGACGCGACGGGGCAGGGCGACGGGACGGGGCAGGGCGACGTGACGGGGGGAAAGGGCGCGACGCGACGGGGGGAAAGGGCGCGACGCGACGGGGGGAAAGAGCGCGACGCGACGGGGGGAAAAGGGCGCGACTCGACTGGGGGGAAAGGGCGCGACGCGACGGGGGGAAAGGGCGGGCAGGACGCGACGCTAGGAGTGGCGCTAGGCGCGGCACTACGCGCGGTAACAACGGAACCGGGACGAATGAGAGCTAGGATCAGGCTCGGGAGGCTCGAACGGAGAACGGAGGAACGGGATCCCACAGGATCCTAACCTAACTGATACCATGTCAAAATGAAGAATGGATGATGCATTGATGTTGGTTGGGGTACATATAGCTAACCCTAAGTTTTGTACCCCCTAAGACAAACCTCACTATAGGCTACAACATTTGACATTATCATAGCACTCTAGGGTGGTGGTATATCCGGTGGAATACGGTACCGTGCTCTATTCGTCAAGCAGTAAAATAAGGAAGCTCTCTGGCAGATGTGTCGTGCTGTCTTTGGCACGCTACACTAGAGTAGGCTCCGATCCGTGCATGTTTTTGCCCATATCATGCCTCCTGCTGTGCTTGCCCAGTATTGAGCCCATTCTCCGAGCAATGAACTTCCTTTCAGTCTGGTTAAGGGATGGGAGGAGGGAAATGGGGTTTGCTGGAAGATTAGAAATACCGTACACGTGTTTCGAAAGTGTTTTGAATATATGATATTTTCATTTTTAAAATGAGTGACATCCATCGATTCTTTTTCATTGTACAGCGTTGGGGGATCATATCATTCTCATACCCATCGTCACATGCTCTCGCAGGTACCTATTCTTCTTTTGTACCGTAGTACACCAAATGGGCTCTATAAGGAGTTGACACAGTGCAATCACTTCTCATTGATGTTTAGAGTTCGGATCGAGTGCTATTTCTTTTACCGAAGCTTGCACAAGCGAATAACGAGAAATTCGCAGGCCATGCAAACGCGCTGTCAGATGGAGAAACGTGGCACACGACAAAGAAACGGCCATCAGAAAGCGGTTCGGGTGCTAGTTAGCGGGAAACGCGATACGCAGCTAGGGTGTACATAGGTACAGTCGCCGAAGGCGCTTCGCGTGAGCCCGGCGGTTTGACCAGCTGTTAAGACGTCTTGAAACCAAGCGCTGCGGTAGTAGTCCCGAAGCGACGCGACCCCACTTACTCTCACGACCCTACTTACGTGTAGTCCCGACGCGAATCCACTCTCTCGTAGTCTCGACGCGCGTCGAGTCACTCATACAGTAGACTTGAGAAGCCACGGAAACGGAACAAGATGGCACCGCAGCTCGTGCTCATGGTACGATCATCCCTCTCACTTGCTCGTGTGCTCAAGTCGGACTCAGCGTACGAAACGCTGCAGTTTACGAACGCTGCCGTCGGACTCTTGACTTCCACTGCCGTGTCTTTCAAGCGACGTCTTCTAGTCCGTCGCCCTCCCCTCCTTCGCACATCCCTCCGCGTCGCCCTCGTCTCTGTCACCTTTGGCAAGCCATGGATCCCTATTCTCTCCGATTCACTGATCCCCGCATTTCCTTCGTACCATCCCCCCCATCTCCTCATCCCCGTTTCCAGTCATCCCTCAACCTTCATCGTCTCACCCAATCCAGTCACTCTCACCACCACTCCCTTTCCATCCCACTCTCTCATACCACTCACCTTATCCCACTTTCTTCATCCCACTCTCCTCATACCACTCACCCTCTCCCACTGCATCCGTCCAATCCCGGCCTGCCAGGTGGCAGAGAAGCCCAGCATCGCTCTCACCATCGCTCAAGTCATGTCGCACGGGCAGGTAAACAAGAAACACGGGCAGGTACATTAGAAACACGGGCAGGTAAATTAGAAACACGGGCAGGTGAGGAGGAGCACGCACATGTGCCGTTGAGTCGCATGAGCAGGTGGTGCAATGCGAGGTGGCAGGGCAGCACACATGCGGCCATGCAACTGAGTAGCAGCCACGTGTAATGAGGGTGTTTTTGAGACGTCTCAAAAACGAGTTCAATAGTGACTTTTGAGGAGGCCCGGCTCACTGTGCGGCCAGCATGCCAGCACATGCCTGAGGTTCATTCATACAACCCCTCCTCATATCCCCTCACCCTCCACTCTTCCAGATGGCTTCCCGGCGCTCCTGGTTGGATGTGCATGAGTTCAATGGTGACTTTCGAGGAGGCCCGGCTCGCTTCAAAGTCACGTCTGTCATCGGCCACGTGCTCAGGTGAGATACAACCCACTCTGCCAAGCATTGCCACACTACTCCCAGATGCAGCAGTAGTCGCTTACGCAGACGACATCACAATCGTAGGCTACCCCAACGGGCCATGAGTCCGCTGCCATTTGGGGGTGCGCTGCCTTGATCCCTGCCCTGGCCTTGCTGTGCAAGGCGTTCGCCTGAGAGCGCTGGAGTGCCACTGCCCGGCGCTGGATCAATTGGCAGGCCATCTTCTCAACGGGTTTCGCCAAGGGGCTGGTCCTGAAGCGGTTCCTTACTGCTGCAGTAGCCAGCAGCTTCAGGAATGTCGTTGCCCCATACATCAGTGGCCATACGTCTCGACGGCGAGGGCGCAGAACACCACGTGAAGAAGTGTGTTTTTGAGACGTCTCAAAAAGCTTCAGAACCGCCGTTGTTGGTGGCACATTTGTCCAATATGTCTCGACGGCCAGGGCACATTCTCCTTTCGCCTGAGCACGTGTTCGGTGTGCCGGTCGTTGTCTCTCTCCTTTCGCCTCTGTGATTCTCTTGCTACCCACCCTGGGGGCTTGCGGGCTGTGGGGCCTCGGATTTGCACTGCAGCACGGGGTCAGTGATGGTGGTGTCGGTGATCCATGTCTCCCCACTGTCAAGGTCACGCACGACTACGCATTCTCCTTCTTCAGGTCGTCCGGCGGTGAGTACATTGCATTCACAAGGTATACCTCCAGCTGCGCCTCCCTAGCCATCTTTGCCACGGCAAAGGCGGCTGGTTGTGGTTTCGTGTCTTGTTTGATCCAGTGCTGCAGCTGAGAAGGTGGTTGGGTAGGGTGCAGTCGGCCACAAGTTCGCCGCACTCGCACATGGTATGGGCGTTCTGTCAGATGTCCATATGGAAGGCCAGGGCTGCTCGGAGTTGACCAGGTGAGAAGCAGAGGTCCGGGGTCAGTGGCAGAGCCTGCAGGCACGCCCCCGCTCCTTCACCTCTCAGGTTGATGAGGCGAAGGGTGTGCCCGATTTCTGGGGCTGACTGGATTGTGCGGGAGTCCTCTGTTAGAACCTCGGCTTTTGCTGCGTGAATTACATGAGAGAGGATGCGTTGTAGCTGGTCCTGGGACGGGCTTTGCTACTCCTCACTCTCTCTCGCTCTCTCTCACGAAGCCCTGGAAATATTGGAAGAATTAAAAGAAAAATGAGATGGGAGAATAGGTGGTAGACAGTGCCTGCACGACGGGTTGGTAGTGTTGTCGACGCACACATGCATAAGCACATAGAGGGAGACACACACACAAGCATAACACACATTGACACACACCTTCAGCTCTTGTTCTGTGCTCGCCAGCTGCCCTTCAACTTCCAACTGCTCTCCATTCTTCTTCAACTCCTCCTCCTTCTCCCCCAGCCTCCTCTCAGTCTCCGCCAGCCGTTCCCACATCTCTTCCAACTGCCCCTTCGTCTGCCCGAGCTGCTCGTCTATCTCTTCCAACTGCTCTTCAGTCTTCCGTAGCTGCGCCTGACTCTCCTCCATTCTAGCCGCACTCAGGGGCAGTTGGAGCACATTCATGGGCATTTGGAAAAGAGTGAGGGGCAATTGCGGAAGATTGAGGGACAATTGAAAGAGAATAACGGGTAGCTCGGGCAGACAAAAGAGCAGTTGGAAGAGACACGTGAACGGCTGGCGGAGACCGAGGGGAGTCTGGGGGAGAGGGAGGAGTTGAATAGGGAAGGAGAGCGGTTGAAGGAGGTTGAAAGGTAGCTGGCGAGCACAAACGAAGAGCTGAAGGTGTGTGTCAATGTGTGTTATGCTTTTGTGTGTGTCTCTCTCCATGAGTTTATGCTGTTTATGTCAACAACTCTACCACCTCGCCGCGCATGCACTGTCATACCATTCATTCTCCAACCCTATTCTCTTTCTATCTCTTTCGCACACACACACACACACGAATGTGCACACACACACACACACTCACACACAAATGTGCACACACACACACACACACACACACACACGAATGTGCACACACACACACACACACACACGCGCGCGCGCGCACACACACACACACACACACGCACACGCACACACACATATCACGCCTTGCTTACTCAAGGCAACACAATCACGCACGTACGCACGCACACGCGCGCGCACACACACACACATATAACATGCGTGTGCGTGCGCGCGCACATACACACACCCACACACTCACACACACCCACACACACCCACACACACCCACTTGCACGCATGCACTCACAAGGGTTGTTAGAATAAGCACAACAGCTTATCAGTTTGGTTCAGAGTTACATCCGTTGATGGTCATGTGCGCATGTGGGCTCAATATTCACAACACCACACAAGGGTTTTTTTATTATATTTGAACACAAGCTGGCTCCAACTCAACTCATCACTCACTGCTCATCCCCTTTGTTGTCTAGCAAATAACGTCCTCCCTCACTATTAGAGCTGGGATGCCATTCACTGACCTATGTTTACCCCTTGTCTCTCCCCCAACCCCCCTCTCTTTCCACCCCAGCATCAACTTCTGTACCAGCTATTAGAGCTGGGACGCCACTGACCCATCACTTAGTCCCTCGGCCCACCCATCCCCCACCCCTCCCCCCACCAGCATCGACTTTCCCCCCAGCTATCAGAGCTGGGACGCCACAGACCCAGCATCACTCTTCACTGCCCCCACTGTCAAGACGGAATCCAATCCTAAGGTGCGATGCTTTTTGAATCCTGGCACTCTCTTAGGGAATGCAGTAAATCCAACCCCAAGGTGCGGCATCTGAATTGCCGAGCCTAAGCCCTTTCAAAGGTAGTGGCAAGCCTATGCCTAATCCCAAGGTGCAGCCGAAGTGTAGCAGAGGCACAGCACAGATGCAACAGAGGTGCAATAGAGGCGCAGCAGAGGTGCAGCAGCCATTCTTCAGCCTCTTTCGGGGTTTTTCAAAAGCCCACTCTTCACTGCCCCCACCAGAAGACAGAGTCCGACCCCAAGGTGAGGCCACTGTAGCGCTCGAGCCTAAGCCTACCCGATGTGCGGCACGACCAAGCCTAAGCCAAGCCTAACCTAGAATACAGTCTTTCGAGTCTTTAGTTTTTCTACCAACTCCTGAATAAGACAACAAAAAAAGAAAATTAACGTGGAAGATATGCGCATCAGACAACAAAACAAAGAAAGACATATAACAGACAAACTGCCGAAGCGCAATAAGTAATTAATTACATAATTACAGTTTGTTGAAGCGCCTCGAATACGACTCTTCTTGCCCACTCAAAACCCAGAATCTCAAACTGTAGCTCCAAAACTGATATCAAATAATGGTGCATTGCGAGCCGATTGAGATTCAAAGTACATCGATTCTATGGTTTAGTTCATGTGTTGTATGCATGTCTCCTCGCACTCGTCCCCACTGAGTGCATCCGTTGTGCCTTCTATCAAAGCATAAGAAGAGAGGCACTTCTTGTCTATCTATGCAATTATACCCATCCGTCATGAGTTGAGTTTGAGTCGTCTCAAGAGTCAGCAAACGTTTTATTTACATATGCATCTATACTAATCCGTTATGAAAATCTGGAGATTTCTCAAAATTTTCCCTGCCCTCGCTCTCTGCTGTGCGTTTCTTCCCTGCGTGCTGCGTTGCTGTGCGGTACTGCATGGTGATGTGCAATGCGGTGTGGTGCAGGCGCATGTGTGCAAGCACCTACAGATGGAGGCCAAGGGGTGTGATGCGCTCGTGTTGTGGCTCGACTGCGACAGAGAGGGCGAAAACATCTGCTTCGAAGGTGGGTGGAGCAGTGTTGGTTCAGTTGCGATGTTCCTTCACATGTCTCTCAGTCGTGTACTGTTCATACATGTGCCCACATGCCCTCGTGCTGTGACTGGACTGCGACAGGGAGGGCGAGAACATTTGCTTCAAAGGTGGGTGGGTGGGTGGGTGTGCTTTTGAAACAAAAAGGGGTATCTCATGCGCTCGTACGCGCTGTGGCTGGACTGCGACAGGGAGGGCGAGAACATCTGCTTCGAAGGTGGGTAAAGCAGGGTAGGTTAACATTTGAAATGTTCTTAAACACGCTTCTAACTCTAAAGCTTCTGTGCACTTGTGCCCCCCTCGTGCTGTGGCTAGACTGCGAGAACATCTGTTTTGAACCCCCGCTGCTCGCAACCCCAACCCCCATTCTTCCTCTTCCGTGTCTTTTCCAACCTGCTCCTTTCGTTCCCACTCCCTTACCAGTGATGGCACCAAAGCAACCAAGCATGCGATCCCCTGAAACTCCTTCCAAGCCAAGTTCTCAGAGATAGGAGAGAAGGACATTCTTCTTTGAACCCCCTCCTCTCCTCTCAATTCTGCCCCAATCCTCACCCCCTCCCGCCACCCCCCCGCCAGTGATGGCACACACACAGCCCAGCCCAGCATGAGGTCACCACAGAACGTGTTCAGGGCAAAACTTTCTGCAATTGGCGAAAAAGACATTCGGCAGGCGACAGCTCGACTGGGGGTACCCAACGAGGCAGAAGCTAAGGCAGTGGATGCGAGGCAGGAGAGGAGATCAACCTGAAACCAAATCGTTGCTTTCCTCTGCAAGCCCTCCCCCACTTCCTGCAGTGATGGCGCACACTCAGCCCGGCATGAGGTCACCTCAGAATGTCTACCGGGCGAAATTCTCAGCCATTGGCGAGAAGGACATTCGGCAGGCGATGGCTCGACTGGGGGCGCCCAACGAGGCAGAGGCCAGGGCAGTGGATGCGAGGCAGGAGATCGACCTGAAAGTGGGGGTGGCGTTCACACGGTTCCAAACACGCTTCTTCCAAGGGAAATACGGCAACCTCGACTCGTCACTTATATCGTGAGTGGCTTGAGTACTTGGTTGGCCCATATGTGTATGATCGGGAATTGGGCATAAAGGCCCACATTAGAATGAGAAGGTGATGCGAGGCAGGAGATCAACCTAAAAGTGGGGGTGGCGTTCACACGGTTCCAGACACGCTTCTTCCAAGGGAAATACGGCAACCTCGACTCTTCTCTCATCTCGTGAGTGCATGCCTGGGCATGAAGAAGGACCGGGCCTGGATAGAGACAAAGAGAGGTAGAGGGGGTGGCCTTTACGCGGTTTCAGACGCACTTCTTCCAAGGGAAATACGGCAACCTCAACTCATCCCTTATATCGTGAGTGGCTTGGAATGAGGGTCTGGCTCGTTCTGTCTCTCAGATACTGTTCTTCCTCAGTTGAAACGAGTGGCTTGGAACGAGGACTGGACTCTTCTCGTCTCTCAGCATATGGCGTGAGTGGTAGGTCTGGTTCGTCTGAGCATTCGCACGACACTGAGCCTCATGTTTGACGCATGCATATCTGTGCACATCTTAACCTGCATGCACATAGGTGCGGTACGGCCCGTGCCAGACAAAACCACGCTGAGCTTCTGGTACCATCCATGCCTCATCATTATAACCTCATCCATGCCCGTGCCAGGCATTGTTATAATGCGCCTGCTTTTTCCTTCCATCCGTGCCTCCTCACCCCTGCGCACATTCCATGAACCACACGCACATCTTGAATTCCATGCAGGTACGGCCCGTGCTAGACGCCCACGCTCGGCTTCTGTGTGGCCCGCCGCCACCAGCGCATCACGTCGTTATCATTATCCCCTGCCCTCCTTCCCTCGGCACGCACACCTTGCATAATCCCCGTGAATGCAGGTACGGCCCGTGCCAGACGCCCACGCTCGGCTTCTGTGTGGCCCGCCACCAGCACATCACGTCGGTATCATGCTTCCCTCCCTCCTCCATGCCATGCATCACATTGCGTAAACCATATGCCACATCCCAAACCACATTCAGATACGGCCCGTGCCAGACGCCCACGCTCGGTTTCTGCGTGGCGCGCCACCAGCGCATCACGTCGTTATGATGTTCCCCTTCCTTCCCACCCCCTTTCTCCTCCCCTGCCCCAATGCCCACACTCAACCCCCATGCATACAGGTATGGCCCGTGCCAAACTCCCACGCTGGGCTTCTGCGTGGCCCGCCCCACCAGCGCATCACATCGTTATCATGTTTCCCTACCCTCCATGCGCCCCCCACACAACACATTGCATAATCCATCTACGGGCAGGTACGGCCCGTGCCAAACTCCAACGCTCGGCTTCTGCGTCGCCCGCCACCAGCACATCACGTGGTTACCATGTTACCCTACCCTCCATGCGTCCCCCACACAACACATTGCATAATCCATCTACGGGCAGGTACGGCCCGTGCCAGACGCCCACGCTCGGCTTCTGTGTGGCCCGCCACCAGCGCATCACGTCGTTTGTCTCGGAGCCCTTCTGGGCGGTGCGGCCAATCGTGGTGCGCGACGGCCGCCAGCTGGCGCTGCAGTGGGGGCGGGGGCGGCTGTTCGACAAGGAGGTGAGGTGTAGGGAGAAGAGGTGGGGGGAGGGGGGGGGGGGGGGGTAGGGAGGAAGGTGACAATGGGGTTGCAGGAGAGCAAGTGAATTGTGTGTTAGGGGCGGCCGCCAGCTGGCGCTGCAGTGGGCGCGGGGGCGGCTGTTCGACAGGGAGGTGAGGGGAGACAGGGGGAGTCAGGGGCAGGGGATGGGGGTGGGGGTGGAAGTGGGGGGTGGGGGGGGGGGGGGGGGGGGGGGGGGGGGGGGGGGGGGGGGGGGGGGGGGGGGGTGGGGGGGGGTTGGGGGGGGGGGGGGGGGGGGTGGGGGGGGGGGGGGGGGGGGGGGGGGGGGGGGGGGGGGGGGGGGTGTGGGGGGGGGGGAGGGGGAGGGGAGAAAAAGGGAGGGGGGTCTGCGTCAGGAACGGTCGCCAGCTGGCGCTGCAATGGGCGCGGCACGGGGGCAATTGTTTGACAAGGAGGTGAGAGGAGACTCGGGGAAGGGAGTGGGCACTACAAAGAGGAGAGGGAGGAAGTGAGGTGTGCTTGACTGACGGCCGCCAGCTGGCGCTGCAGTGGGCTCGCTCGGGGATGGCTGTTTGACAAGGAGATGTGTGGGGGGGAGGGAGGGGGTGTGAGGAGGGGAGAGAGGAAGTTAGGTTGCGGAGTTCTTTCGGAGGTTGCCCTACCCTCCATCCCCTCCTTTCCCCTCTCACCTTGCTGGCAGGGCAGAGTTCTTTCAAAGGGACGTAGCAGCTTAGCAGGCGGCACTGCCACAGTGACGAGCGTTGTACGGAAGGAGAGGAGGGGTTGGCTTACAGGGCTGTACACTCATCCTTCTAGTCTCCTCTCCTCTTTCCCGTCTCTCCCTTGCTGGCAGGTTGCGGAGTTCTTTCAGAGGGATGTGGCAGCAGGGGGCGCTGCAGTTGTGAAGAGTGTTGCAATGAAGGAGGAGAGGAAAGGGCGGCCCACAGGCCTTAACACGGTGGAGATGCTGAAAGCTGCTTCCAGTGGGCTGGGCATGGGGCCGCACCATGCCATGCAGATCGCTGAGCGGCTGTACACTCAGGGATACATCAGGTGAGAGCGAGAGGGAGTGTGTCTATGTGGCCAGCGTAGCAAGGCTGAGCTGAGCACCACATGCCCACAGGGCTGAACACGGTGGAGATGCTGAAAGCTGCTTCCAGTGGGCTGGGCATGGGGCCGCACCATGCCATGCAGATTGCTGAGAGGCTGTACACTCAGGGGTACATCAGGTGAGATGGAAAGAAAGGGCTCGCATCCGTTGGTTGGGGATGGGAGGCTGAAACTAGTGGCTGGCACAACAGGACTGAATGAACACGGTGGAGGTGCTGAAAGCGGTGTCCAGTGGTTGGGCATGGGGCCTCATCACGCCATGCAGATCGCTGAGAGGCTTTAAACGCAAGGATACATCAGGTGAGGTTGGACGTAAGTGGAAGGGCTCGCATCCGTGGGTTGGGGATGGGAGGCTGAAACCACTAGCCAACACAACAGGACTGAATGAACACGGTGGAGGTGCTGAAAGCGGTGTCCAGTGGGCTAGGCATGGGGCCGCACCACGCCATGCAGATCGCTGAGCGGCTTTACACGCAACGGTACATCAGGTGAGAGGGAATGAAATCAAGGGGAGGGCAGGGAGACAAAGTGTGAATGTTCATCATCAGTGCCATGCTGATTGCTAAACGACTTTGCACACAGGGAGGGGCGAATCAGGTGAATGTTGGAGTGTGCCCCCACACACGGTGTGGGGTGTGCTCCCTTCGTCCTCGTCCCTCTCGAACGGTTCTTTCCTTATATTCTCCAAGTAGAAGCACAAGCTTTACGTTAAGATCACATATTGCGACTGCTAAAGTCCCTTCACAAATCTGCCCAACCTGCAGTGGTGCATTATTCATGACCCTACCTCATCTACCAATCCATATGACTTTTGGAAGCTCTATTCGCTCAAGCAACCGAACCTTTCCTGCCGGAAGCAACTCTGCAGCTTGTCCGAGTCTTTCAGGCAGCTGCCTTAGCTGCTTTAAACGGCCTACTCAGCAATGGAAGTGTTTACCGCTTTCTTTGCACGAGATGTCAACTCTGTGTGAATGTACTATCACATAACGCCTTTTGCTTTCAACAAGAGGCGCCCGTGGGATTGCCGCGAGGGGATGTGAGGTGGTTGGAGAAGACAGAGGGGGCGACGGAGGAGAGGAAGAAGGAGGCGAAGAAGAAGTACGAGATGAGGAAGGAGAGAATGATGATGGAGAGGAAGGGACAGGTGGTGAGAATTTTTTGAAAATGCCAGAGTTTATGCATCCGAAGGAGTTGAATGAGGCAATGCGTCAGTTGGTGGTGTGTGCGAAGCAGCGGAAAGAGGCAGTGTGTCAGCTGGTTGTGCCTCCTCCCGCTACTCCGCATGCACAACCAGCTGACGCACTGCCTCTTTCCGCTGCTCCACATGCACCACCAATTGACGCATTGCCATGTTCAGCAACTTCGCATGCACCATCTTCTCTGCCTCTCGTCTCCCTCTTTTCTAATGATCACCCACCTACCCTCCCCCTCTGCTTTCCGAGCTATCCTCGCACCGAGTCGGCAGCCTACCTTGCCTCCTTTGACTATAAAGACACTTTTTTGCAGAGGACGTACTTTAGATTGCATATGTTTCTTTTGGAATACTGAAAGGACATCCTTTGCGTCGCAAATTCACCTTTCTTTCTCTTTTGACGTTGTCCCTTTCCTCCCCTCCCTACTACGTTTCCCAGCTACCCTCGTAGTGAATCTACTCCATAGGCCTCTACTTTTGATTGTATGCCCTTTCAATACTGTCACGCCATCCTATATGGGGGGTTTCCGTGCAGTCTCATGCCACCTAACCCCCTTGCCCCTCATCCTCTGCCCCCCTTCTCTGCCCATCTTCCCACTTGTCCCTCTCCCCTCCCCTTCCAGCTACCCTCGCACTGAGTCAACAGCCTACCCCTCCTCCTTTGACTATAAGCACGACCTTTCTAAACGGTCATGGCACCCATATTGGGGGGGCACGTGCAATCACTCCTGCCTGCTGTTAGGACCCTCAACGTTCCCTCCCTTTCCATCTCCTGCCATACCGGTCGTCCCCTTCCCCCCTTCTCTAGACTCTACCCATCTGCCCACCTGTCCCCTCCCGCTTCCCACTGCTTCCCCTCCCGCTTCCAGCTACCCTCGCACCGAGTCAACAGCCTACCCCTCCTCCTTTGACTATAAGGACGCCCTTTCGATACAGTCACGGCACCCCATATGGGGGGAGTACGTGCAATCTCTGCTGCAGCTCGGGCCCTCGCCGCCCAGGGCGGGAAAAGACGAGGGAGACCACCCGCCCATCACGCCCATGCGCGCTGCGGACGAGGGGGAGCTGGGCGGTGGGGATGCGTGGCGGCTGTATGACCTTGTAACGAGGCACTTTATAGGGAGCTTCAGCCCTGACTGCAGGATTGCAAGGTGCGCATGGGGGAGGTCAAGGGAGCGGTGGGACAGACATCAAATGTGGGGACGCGTGGCGGCTATATGACCTTGTAACGAGGCACTTTATAGGGAGCTTCAGCCCTGATTGCCGGGTCGCAAGGTAAGTATGTGAGAGGTCAAGGGAGCATGGGGGGATGAGTGGAGGTTGTTTTGGATGAAGGAGGGAGGGTGCAAAGCGCCTCAAAAATATAGAGAGAGGAGGGTGGTATGGTGAGTGCAAGCGAACTGCTGAAGGGTGGTTTGCAGACCACCCGCCCATCACGCCCATGCGTGCTGCACACGAGGGGGAGCTGGGTGGCGGTGACGCGTGGCGGCTGTATGACCTTGTAACGAGGCACTTCATAGGGAGCTTCAGCCCCGAATGCAGAATCGCAAGGTGAGTGTGCGAGAGGTCAAGGGAGCAGAGGGAGAGACATCAAGTGTGGGGATGCGTTCCGGCTGTATGACCTCATAACGAGGCACTTTATAAGAAGCTTTAGTCCTGACTGCAGGAAAGCAAGGCGTGTGTGTGGAAGGTCAAGTTAGGGGAGCGTGGGGAGGAGATGGGTGGTGGTTGTATGACCTCATAACGAAGCACTTAATAGGGAGCTTCAGCCCTGCAGAATCGCAAGGTGAGTGTGTGAGAGGTGGGACGTTCACAAGTGTGGGGATGCATGGGGGGATGCGTGGCGGCTGTACGACCTTGTAACGAGGCACTTTACTTATAGGGAGCTTCAGTCTTGACTGCAGGATTGGAAGGTGGGACTGGGAGAGGTCATGGGAGTGGTGGGAGGGATGGCAAGTGTGGGGATGCGTGGGGGGGCACTTCTGTGTGACCTTGTAACGAAACACTTCATGTGGGGTCTCAGCCCTGACTGCAGGATTGGAAGGTGGGTCTAGGAGAGGTTATGGGAGTGGTGGGAGGGATGGCAAGTGTGGGGATGCGTGGGGGGCCACTTCTGTGTGACCTTGTAACGAAACACTTCATGTGGGGTCTCAGCCCTGACTGCAGGATTGGAAGGTGGGTCTAGGAGAGGTTATGGGAGTGGTGGGAGGGATGGCAAGTGTGGGGATGCGTGGGGGGGCACTTCTGTGTGACCTTGTAACGAAACACTTCATGTGGGGTCTCAGCCCTGACTGCAGGATTGGAAGGTGGGTCTAGGAGAGGTTATGGGAGTGGTGGGAGGGATGGCAAGTGTGGGGATGCGTGGGGGGCCACTTCTGTGTGACCTTGTAACGAAACACTTCATGTGGGGTCTCAGCCCTGACTGCAGGATTGGAAGGTGGGTCTAGGAGAGGTTATGGGAGTGGTGGGAGGGATGGCAAGTGTGGGGATGCGTGGGGGGCCACTTCTGTGTGACCTTGTAACGAAACACTTCATGTGGGGTCTCAGCCCTGACTGCAGAATTGGAAGGTGGGTCTAGGAGAGGTTATGGGAGTGGTGGGAGGGATGGCAAGTGTGGGGATGCGTGGGGGGGCACTTCTGTGTGACCTTGTAACGAAACACTTCATGTGGGGTCTCAGCCCTGACTGCAGGATTGGAAGGTGGGTCTAGGAGAGGTTATGGGAGTGGTGGGAGGGATGGCAAGTGTGGGGATGCGTGGGGGGCCACTTCTGTGTGACCTTGTAACGAAACACTTCATGTGGGGTCTCAGCCCTGACTGCAGAATTGGAAGGTGGGTCTAGGAGAGGTTATGGGAGTGGTGGGAGGGATGGCAACTGTGGGGATGCGTGGGGGGGCACTTTTGTGGGGGAGACACTTTATGTGGAGCTTCAGCCGTGACTGCAGGATTGGAAGGTGGGTCTGGGAGAGGTCATGGGAGTGGTGGGAGGGATGGCAAGTGTGGGAATCTGTGGGAAATTGTGTCTCCATGTCACTGAACTTCGACTTGAGCTATTGATCTCGGAAAAAAAATCAGGAAAAAAAAAAAAAACCTTAAGGGTTATTTTACTTGTTTGAGGGGTGCATTCGGCTAGAGAATCTTATCTTGATTTGTATTGCGAGTGTAACTGTCATTCATTCATCCCTCAACCGCCTCGTGTCACTAGGGGTCCTGCACCTCACCGCAAACAGCGTTTCAAATCTCCAAAATCATGAGCGACGTTGCTTGCAGCGAGGTGTAGGATCCTGAGTGATACAAGGCGGTTGAGGGATAAAGAAATGGCAATTAAACTCGACGTACATATCATGGTAAGATTCTCCATTCGAGTACACTTCTCGAATAAAAGGTATGAATCACTTCACTTCCTGTCTCAATCCCCTTCTCGCTTCTCCTCTTGGTCTCCCACCGCTCTTTTTCTTCCTTCCTTTCCCTTCTCCTCCTTCCTGCCCCATTCCTTCCCCACCAGGACACGTGTGACCTTCTTAGTGGCTGGAGAGCATTTCTCAGCATCAGGACGGAAGCTGCTATCCGCGGGATTTACTGCGGTCATGCCGTGGCTGGCCGTGGGGGACGAGGGGCTCCCTACATTTGTGCAGGGGGAGAGCGTGGCACTGAGTGCCGTGGAGCTTTATGAGGTGAGATGTGGTTTGGTGCGGTGAAGGTAGGTGTAGGAGTTACCAGGCTATTCCCTGCCTGCTCTGCTGCCGTTCACTGCAAGCAGTCATGCCGTGGCTGGCTGTGGGAGAAGAGGGCCTCCCAACCTTCGTGAAGGGGGGTTACGTTGCACTGAGCGCAGTGGAGCTGTATGAGGAGAGGTGAGGCGATGCCCTTTAAGGCTTGCTGTGTCGGCTGTGCGCGGGATTCACTGTGGGATTCACTTCGGTCATGCCGTGGCTGGCTGTGGGAGACAAGGGCCTCACAAACTTCATGCAGGGGGGGGAACAATGCCCTGAGCGCAGTGGAGCTGTATGAGGTGAGATGTGGTTAGGTGCGGTGAGGGGGGCTGTAAGAGGTGAGGAGTTACTGGTCAACCTGGGCTAACCCCTGTGCTGCTGCCCTTCACTGCTGTCATTCCGTTGCTGGCCGTGGCAACAGAGGACTTCCAGCCTTGCTGCAGGGGGGGAGTGTAGAGCTGAGTGGTGTGGTGTGGAGCTGTATCAGGTGAGGGCAGAGGCTTCCTTGCCTCGTTTCCTCTCGTGCCTCACCACCTTTGTGAGAAAGTGTAAGAACAACCGATAGTTTCATTAGGAAGGGCATGGGTTTACATAGTTGAGCTAGGATGTAGGAGCCATGCCAACATTATTGGCCCCCACCAATAAGTTGGGTTGAGGAATTATTGGGGGGACCAATAATGTTGACCAAAAGTGGGTCAACATTATTGGAAAGGGCCAATAATCTCCCAACCCAACCTTGGGGGCCCAATAATTGGGCCAAGGTTGGGTTCCAACCTCAAACTAGGGTAAACCCTAGTTGTGCACCCAAACTAAGTTTGGGTGCCTATCTCTAGTCAAAGCTTATATGATGATGCAGGTTACAATGAAGATGGTAATCTGACACAACCCCTTAACCTGCAGAAATCCATAGGCTTTGGAAGAGAGAACGCAACAACCCCTGAATCAGCCACCGCGGGGAGCAAGTCCCTGAAGGCGCAGGAGCGCAGAGTGGTTAGAGCGATGGAGAGCCTTGGTGAAGAGGTCAGCGAGGTTGGCGGACGAGTCGATTTTACGAACAGTGATGTGACCATCTTGCACAAGATCGCGGACAAAGTAGTAGCGGAGTTCGATGTGTTTGGAGCGACCATGAAAGACGGCCTCCTTGGTGAGGTGGAAAGTACTATCGTTGTCACACCACAGGGTGGGGCAGGGCTGTGGTGAGCCAAGGTCGGTGAGAAGATAGCTAAGCCAGCGTGCCTCTTGAGCCGCCATGGTGACTGCGTACAGCTCGGCTTCGCAGGAGGAGAGGGCGACGGAGGAGGAGCGAGTGGAGCGCCAGCTGATGAGGCCGCTCCCAAGGGAGAAGCCATATCCTTGAGAACTGCGATGGTCCGGCTGTGCATCCGCCCAAGATGAGTCACTGAAGCCTTGAAGAACAGGTGGGTCCACACCACCAAGCGTGAGGCCATAGTCCTTTGTGCCTTGGAGGTAGCGCAGAACACGCATGGCCGCCTTCCAGTGCTCCTCACCATGCCTGCCAGTGCCAACAAACCGCGCCAGGACACTGACGGGGTATGCAAGGTCGGGACGAGTGCAGACCATGGCGTACATCAGGGCCCCAACGAGTTCTGCATAGGGATGAGGGGAGGTGACAGGAGTGGCTGGAGGGGACAGCCGATGCCCGAATGCAAGTGGTGTGGGGATGGGTTTGGATTTGGACATGCCGAATCTCTCGAGCACCTTCCCGATGTAGAATGACTGAGAGAGGGTGATAGTCTTGGCAGTGAGGTCGCGGGTGATCTCCATGCCAAGGTAGTTGCGGACTTCCCCCAGATCTTTGCAGGCGAGACGTTGCTGCAGCTCATCCTTGACCTCCTGAAGTTCAGCAGCTGTCTCAGCTGCTAGCAGCATGTCGTCGACGTAGACGAGGATGAAGAAGGGTGACGGAGTTAAGCGAAGGAAGAGGCAAGAGGCAGCACGGGAGGGGCGAAAGCCAAGTGCGCGAAGGGTGGATGAGAGTTTGGCGTGCCATTCTCGAGGTGCTTGTTTGAGCCCGTAAACAGGGCGTAGTAGTTTCCAGACGGTGGCAGGGTCGTGAGGAGCGTGGAAGCCCTTGGGACGTTCCAAGAAGATGAGTTCGTGGAGGTCGCCTTGTAAGAAGGCCGTGGTGACATCCATGGAGTGGAGGAGCATCCCGCGTCTGCCAACGAAGTCCAGAAACACGCGAATGACCGGCGGAGTGGCGGTAGGTGAGTAGGTCTCGAAGAAGTCCGAGCCATAAGTCTGTGTAAAGCCTTTCGCCACATACCGAGCCTTGTAGACAGGAGCTTCACCAGGGAGTAGTTTTACTCGGAAGAGCCACCTGCCTTTGACCACGTTGTGCTTGGAGGGGCGAGGGACGTCGAGGAAAGAGCGGTTGTGGATGAAGGCGTTGCATTCCTTGACCATGGCCTCGATCCAGAGAGGTGCGTCAAGACATGCAATTGCTTGCTCGTAGGTGGTGGGTTCGTAGATGGTGGGGGTGTTGGAGAAAAGAAGGACCGTAGTACCAGCCATGGTGCGGACGACAGGGGCGATGGTGGGTGAGAGGAGGTGGAGGAAAAGGAGTTCATCATGAGAGTCTTCATAGAGGTCCGGAGAGAGAGGAGGAGGAAGAGGAGGCGGTGAAGATGCAAGACAGCTGCGCTGGAGGGTCAGGCTGGAGCGGGAACACGGCTGCACTGCTGCTCTGCTGCGCCGAGGGTCGGGGCGAGGAGACAGCTGCAATGCTGCTCTGCTGCGCTGAGTTGCCGTGAGGGGCAGGGAGACGGGAGCGCGGCTGGTGTGAGAACCTGAGGGGCTGGTGCGGGGGAGTGGGGAAGTGCTAGAGTGGTGGAGGAGTGGAATGGATGTGAGAGACTGGAGGGAGAGGTGATTGGACCGTGGGGGACCAAGGATGGGGACTGTGGAGCGGGTGTGAGGGTAGTGACGAAGGAGCAGAGGAGGGGAGGGAAGTAAGGGCCGAGATGGTGGAGGGGGAGGGGGCGGAGGAGGAGATGGGGAGGGTGGAGGTTGGGAGGGGGGAGGGGGTGGGGGAGAGTTCAGGGGGGGAGGGGATGGGGAGGGAGGGGGAGGGGGTGGGGAGGGAGGGGGGGGGTCAGCGGGGAGAGGGGGAGGGTCAGTGGGGGGAGAGGGAGTTACAGCGGAAGGGGAGGGTGGGGCAGCCGGGTCAAGGATGTCCCCTGAGGAGGTTGGGAGAGAGGGGGGAGGGGGTGGGGGTGCGGGTATGACCAGGGTGGGGGGAGGTTGAAGGGGAGGGGTGATGACAGTGTCAGTCCAGAGGAGAGGACGTATGGTGAGGGGGAGGGGGTTAGGGGCGGAGGGGGAGGTGTAGTACGGATTGGCTTCATCAAAAACCACATCCCGACTACGAATGAGACGACCTGAGGGGGGGTGGAGGAAGAGGTAGTCCGGGGAGGTGGGGTTATGACCAATGAAGATGCAAGGGAGGGTGCGGGAGGCAAGTTTCCCAGCTGCACGTGAACGGTCCTCAGGGTGTATGAGAACATACGCCTTGGAGCCCCACACGCGCAGGGGGGAGATGTCGGGTTTAGTGGAGGTCCAGAGTTCGGTGGGAGTAGTGGTGGGCCGTGAGGGATGGGGGTAGAGATTAGTGAGGATGGCGGCGTGGAGGATAGCATAACCCCACAGAGAAGGCGGGCAGGAGGCATGGACCATGAGGCATCGAGCGGTCTTGGTGACCTCCCGAACCCTGCTCTCCGCCACACCATTTTGCTGAGGGGAATGAGGAAGGGTGTAGGTGTGGATAATGCCATGGGTGGAGCAGTAGGAGGAAAGCATCCGGTTAAGGAACTCACCGCCGCCATCGGAATGGAAGCGAGAGACAGGGCGTTTGAAATGGGTGCGTGCTTGTTCAGCCCAGGCAATAATGGCAGCCGGGGCCTCCGCCTTCTTGCGAAGGAGAGAGACAGTGGAGTACCGACTGTGGTCATCTACCAGTATGAGCAGGTAGCGATGACCTTGCCTGGTGGGGGTGGGATTGGGGCCCCAGAGGTCCATGTGGACGAGATCAATGGGTTGGGGAGAGAAGGAGGGATGACTCTTGTGGGGGGCTTGCTTTAGTTTGCTTTCAACGCAGACTGAGCAGGGAGGGGAGGGCGACGGGGGGAGAGGGGGGAGGGTGAGGGGAAGTCCTTCAAGAAGTTGAGAGGAGACAGATTGACGAAGGGTGGCAAAGTTGGGATGACCCAAGCGATGGTGAAGGAGGACGGCGGGATGGGTAAGGTCACGACAGTGACAGGAGGGGGAGGAGGGAGGGGAGGGGGAGGAGGGAGGGGAGGGGGAGGAGGGAGGGGGAGGGGAGGCAAGAGGAGGGGGGGGGAGGGGGGGAGGGAAGGGGGGAAGAAGGGGAGGGGAGGAGGGGGGGGAGAGGGGAGGGGGGAAGGGAGTGAGGGGGAAGTAAGGTGGGAGTGGTGAGTTGGTGGATGGAGGGGCGAGGGGTGCGGTATGTGTACAGGTTTGTGTGTGGGCAGAGGGGAATACGACAGATGAAGCGACCAGTGATGGTGTGAAAGAGGTCGCAGTGAAGTGCATGTCCGGGGAAGATGGCGGTGACACCTAACCTTGGGAGGTCACGAAGTGCTACCAGATTGTTGCGTAGGGAGGGGACGTGTAGACCTGTGACTGTGCCTGAGGGGAAGATGGGGCAGGGGAGAGTGGAGGTGTGTCGACTTGTGATGGTGAAGCTGAAGTCGGCTCCGTAAATGGTGGAGGGAGTGGGGAGGGGGACTAGTGTGCCTGCGTCCCGAAGGACAGTGTGTGTAGCGCCGCTGTCAAGAATGAACTCAAGGAGTGTAGAGGAGGAGGAAGAAGCGGAATACTGGAAGGATGTCTCATTAATAGCATGGGCATACATTGAAGGAGCAGGAGAAGCAGTGCTAACATGTCCTATGAATCCAGCAGAAGGGAACGGAGTGAAGCCAGGAGGATTGGAGGAGGAGGAGGGCTGGTCAGTAGGAGTGGTAGCAGGTGGAGGAAGCACAGGGCCGTATTGAGGAGGTGGATAAGGAGGGTATGGCCAGCCGGTATAGGGCGGAGGATAGTGGGGGGGAGGGGCTTGAGGAGGAGGTGTGGGTGAAGGGGGAATGGGAGGGGTGGGAGGGGTGGGAGGGGTGGGAGTGGGAGGAGATGAAGGGAGAAGATGTTGAACTTGCTGGAGGATATGAGGTGGGAGATGCTCAGTGAGGACATTGTGAAGATTAGGGGTGGAGGGTTGATAGGCGGGGAGAGTGCGTATGTCATGGAGAGAGGGGCGCGGGAAGATGGTGTTCCATCGAGGTGGGGTGCCGACATTGCCACGTGCAAACCACTCATCAGTGAGGGCTTTGAAGCACGTGTCAGTGGTGTGAGTGGTTTGAGCGCAAGGCTGACCTTTGTTGGAGCCATAGCGAATGATGTACTGACACGGGGGAAGGGTACCCGAGGGAGAGGGGTTTTTGCCACGCCCACCACGGCCGCCACCACGACCACCACCGCGTCCACCGCCTCGCCCACCACCTCGTCCACCACCGCCACCGCCAGTACCGCTTGAGCCGCTACCTCCGCCGCTGCTGTGGTTGCCTGCGGGAGTTTTGCGAGCCTGGATAGCATTGATGGTGGTGGAGTCACGTTGGATGTCCGCTTCGCTGTCAAGGAGCCAGTCGATTGTGTCAGCCACAGGAGGAGGATGGCGGTACCTAGAGGTAAAGGTGATGCGGTAGGTATCGTATGTGGGTGGAAGGCAGTCGAGGATGCGTGCAGTGAGAAGTGATTCATGAATGACAATGCCGCGGTCGTTGAGACGTTGCGCAGTGTCGATGAGGCGCCGAGTGAAGGCAGCAGCAGTGGGGGATGAGTCAAGAGTGGTGTCTTGAAATTTGCGAAAGAGAGCAAGGAGAGAGCGAAGGTCCTGTCGGTCGTACTGAGTGGACAGGGTTTTCCAGAGGCCAGAGGAGGAGGTGGGGCGGAGGTCACGTTTTTGATGGGAAGGGATGCAGGAGAAGATAATGGCTAGAGCGCGGCGATCCGCAATTCGCCATGCTGCAGTATCCTTGTTGAACTTGCGAAGTTCATCAGCATAGTCTTTCTCATCCTGTGCGTAGGAGAGAATGCGCGCAGTAGCATCAGCGTGAGCCTTCTCAGCAGCACGGTGCGCCTCACGCTGGATGGTGTAGGCATCGCGAAGCTTGTTGTAGTTGTTCAAGTTGGCCGCCCATCGATCTGGGTTGTCATCATGAACTGGGGCACGAGGGGGATCAGACAGAGGCTCTGGGGGAGGAGGGGCATCAGGAGGAGGAGGCTCAAGAGGAGGAGGGGGGACGGGTGGAAAGCCGTTAGGGTGCTCAAGAACTACATCAAGAAGACAGTAGTCTTGAACAATGACAGAGCCAAGGTGGGTGTGAAGTGTGTCCTCAAACGACGCCCAGTTCACGGCCGTAGTGTCATGGAGGAGTTCGAGCTTATCGATAGCTCCGAGTTCAATGGGAGTAGAGTCGTCCGCCATGAGGGGGGAGGAGGGGGGGGGGAGAGGGTGACGACACCGGCTGGAGGGCGGGTGCGGTCAAAGACGACACCACCTGGAGGGGTGGCGCGGTCACGTTGCGTGCGGCAGCGCTTCGTCACCCGCGGCTGCCCCTTGTCGCCCGCGGCTGCGTCTCGTCGCCCGCGGCTGCGCCTCGTCGCCTGCAGCTGTGCCTTGACGACACGCGGCTGCTCCTGGACGCGTCCGCAGCGGTTGCCCTCGCTGGTCGCGTCCGCGGCGTCCGCCCGCGCTGGTCGCGTCCGCGGCGTCCGCCCTCGCTGGTCGCGTCCGCGGCGTCCGCCCGCGCTGGTCGCGTCCGCGGCGTCCGCCCTCGCTGGTCGCGTCCGCGGCGTCCGCCCTCGCTGGTCGCGTCCGCGGCGTCCGCCCCCGCTGGTCGCGTCCGCGGCGGTCGCCCGTTCTCGTCGCGTCCGCGGCCGTCGTTCGTCGCGGGTGTGGCGTCCGCCCGCGATTAGGGTTTCGTCGGTCGCGGCGGACGCCGATGCTCGTCGCGGGTGTGGCGTCCGCCCGCGATTAGGGTTCCGTCGCTCGTGCTGGCCGTCCCGACGGTCGCGCTGGTCGTTCCGACGGTTGCGCGGATCGTTCCGACGGTTGGCGTGGCCGTTCCGACGGTTGATGGGTTAGTGGGAGAGAGGGGAGAGCCGCGAGAGGCGGAATTGACTGTAGAAAGGAGGGAGGGGGGCGCTGAAATTTAGCGCAAGGGGAGGGGGGGGCCGTGACGGCGTAGGGGCACACTAGGCGCAAAGGGCGACGTAGTGTCGCGTGAGAGAGGGGGGCGTGATATAGCACGTGGTATGTGCGGTCCTTAGGATCGAGATGGTGTGAGCCGTAGTTGCTCTGAATACCATGTGAGAAAGTGTAAGAACAACCGATAGTTTCATTAGGAAGGGCATGGGTTTACATAGTTGAGCTAGGATGTAGGAGCCATGCCAACATTATTGGCCCCCACCAATAAGTTGGGTTGAGGAATTATTGGGGGGACCAATAATGTTGACCAAAAGTGGGTCAACATTATTGGGGGGGCCAATAATCTCCCAACCCAACCTTGGGGGCCCAATAATTGGGCCAAGGTTGGGTTCCAACCTCAAACTAGGGTAAACCCTAGTTGTGCACCCAAACTAAGTTTGGGTGCCTATCTCTAGTCAAAGCTTATATGATGATGCAGGTTACAATGAAGATGGTAATCTGACAACCTTTCCTCGCTCCACCGCTTCAAACCACTCTATGCTTCCTTGTATCACCTACCCACCCGCCACGTTCAGGGCCGCGTCCTATCTCCTGAACTATACTACGGTACGGAGAGCGTCGTGATGGGGTCTCGCCTAGCATAGCACCACTGCTTGTAACCGTTCCGTGCACTCCTGTACCACCCACTGACCACCTTCAGGGTCGCACGTTCCCACCAGGCTACCTGACTGAGAGTGAGTTGATGTCGCAGGGTGTTTTTGAGAATTCTCAAAAACAGCCTTGCCACACCGAGAGTAAGATGATGGGGCTGATGGAGTGACACGGCCTTGGGACTGGCCTCTATACCATTCTAAACCTGTACCACCCACTGACCACCTAGCTTCAGGGCCGCACGTCCCCACCGGGCTACATGACGGAGAGTGAGCTGATGTGGCTGATGGAGCAACACGGCACTGTAATACATTCTTTTCTGCCACATCCCACCGTGCGTCACCACTCTGAACCCAAAAACAAGGGCCGCACCTCTCCTCCAGACTACCTGACCGAGAGTGAGCTGATGCGGCTGATGGAGTCACACGGCCTTGGCAGTGATCTGTATTAATTTCCTTTTGACGTTCTCCACCGCTCTGAACCCCGTACAACCCCTCAGGGCCGCACGTTCCGCCTGACTACCTGACAGAGAGTGAACTAATCGGGCTGATGGAACGACACGGCATTGCCAGTGACCTCTCTACCTTTTCATCTTCTCCACCACTCTGAACCCACTTTTTTTCCCTTCAAACACCCATTAACAGGGCCGCACATCCCCCCCGGACTATCTGACAGAGAGCGAATTAATCGGGCTGATGGAACGACACGGCATTGCCAGTGACCTCTCTACCTTTTCATCTTCACCACTCTGAACCCACTTTTTTTCCCTTCAAACACCCATTAACAGGGCCGCACATCCCCCCCGGACAATCTGACAGAGAGCGAATTAATCGGGCTGATGGAACGGCATGGCATCGGCACTGACCTGTCTGCCTGATTCATTCTGTCTCCACCGCTCTGAACCACTTAAAATCCCTCAGGGCCGCACATCCCCCCCGGACTACCTGACTGAGAGCGAACTAATTGGATTGATGGAACGACACGGCATCGGCACTGACGCGTCCATCCCTGTTCACATCAACAACATCTGCGAACGGAATTATGCTCAGGTAGGGTGAGTGTGTGCGCGTACAGCATAGGAGGAGTGGTGGGGGGGGGAAGAGAGGGTGGTATCATCAGCACAGACGCGTCCATCCCCGTGCACATCAACAATATCTGTGAATGGAACTATGCTCAGGTAGGGAGGGAATTGGGGGAGTGGAGAGTGGGGGGGAGAAGGGAGGTTGGGATAGTAGCATCGGCAAGAGATGCGTCCAAAAATTTCCACGCACGTGTGTGCGATCTGCGCCGGCAGCCACCGCGATTCTGACCAAGTCATTTTCCTCTGCAAGCGCAAGCAACGCATCAACAATAAGCACCTCACATCATCGCCCAACTGCGGAAAACTAGCGGTACGATTGTTCGGTCTCTCCCTCCCGATGCGCTGAAAGTGATCAATATATACAATTTGTATTGGGGGTTTAGGAGGGAAACACCATCAGCGCCATGGGGTGGTAGAGACCGAGCCGTCGTACCATTTGTTTTCTGCAGTTGGGCGACGGTGAGCTGCGTGCATTGTTGAGGTATGGCGTGCGCTTGCAATGGAAAATGACGTGGCCGGAATCGCGGTGGTTGATAGCGCAGATCGAGCATACGTGCGTGGAAATGATTGAAGAGTCAATAGGAATCATGGCGAGGA